TGTATTTCTTGAGGTTTTTTTTTTTTTTTTTTACTTTTAGTTTTAGTTTTATTTGTGGAAAAATCCTTTAACAACCATGCAACTTACTTGGCTGGGCACAGTGGTTCACGCCTATAATCCCAGTAATTTGGGAAGCCCAGGCAGGCGGATCACTTAAGGTCAGGAGTTTGAGACAAGTCTGGCCAACATGGTGAAACCCCATCTCTACTAAAAATACAAAAATTACCCAGGTGTGGGTGGTGTGTGCCTGTAATCCCAGCTACTAAGGAGGCTGAAGCAAGATAATCACTTGAACCCGGGAGGCGGAGGTTGCAGTGGGCCAAGATCATGCCACTGTACCCACCCTAGGCAACAAAGCAAGACTCCGTCTCAAAACAAACAAACAACTGAGATAAACAACAAACCACATAACTTATGTCACTGCAGTATAATGTTAAGAACATGAGTTAGAGTGGAAAAGCTAGATTTGTGTCCTCACTTTAGCAAGTTTCCTAAATATGCCTCTGTTTCCTCATTTATGATGTGGATAATAGCTGTACCTGCTACGGAAACAAGTTGTGATGATTACGTGAACAAGTGTAGGCAAATCTGTTAGCACAGAGTCTGGCACATAGAATATGCACTCAAATTGTAGTAATATTATCAACCTTAAGAATCTAACAGCACTATTACAGAAGAGAATTATAAGATAAAAGCTCAGAAACGAAATCAATTCCTAACTTTTAGGAAACTACAATGTCATATTAGTATACTCTAATCATTCACCCACTTCTATTATAAAAAACACTCAATCCATCTATCCATTCAAGATGTAGAAAAGTACTACCAAATGATAACAGCAGAGACTATTTCAGGCAGTTGCCGATTCTGAGACAGAAAGGGGACTGTGAGGCAAGAAAAAAAAGCACAAATTCTTTTTTTATTCTGTTGCCTGGGCTGGAGTGCAGTGGCGCGATCTCACAATCTCTGCCTCCCAGGTTCAAGCAATTCTTCTGCCACAGCCTGCCCCTGAGTAGCTGGGATTATAGACATGTGCCATCATGCCCAGCTAATTTTTTAATTTTTTAGTAGAGATGGGGTTTCACCACGTTGGCCAGGCTGGTCTCGAACTCCTGACCTCAAATGATCTGCCCACCTTGGCCTCCCAAAGTGAGATACAGGCGTGAGCCACCGCACATGGCCTAGAAAGCACAAATTCTCAAGGCCACAAAACAGAGCCACTCCTGGGATCTCATCACATGAAGGCCATAGCTCACACCCTTGACTGCCCAGAGCCTCATCCAGGCTAATTATAATTAAACCAAGATCTTTAGAAGTGAAAACATTTTTAAAAACTCCCCACGTGACTAAACGTGAACCTAGCATTAAGAAGCATTGATTAAGCCATACCTTCCTTTACTTTGGGAGTAATCTGAGTAAGTCTCTAACACAAAATAATAAAAATCCAGATGCAGTACTAAATGCCTTAATTTTGTTATTAATGAAACCATGCAGCCTGGCCAACATGGCAAAACCCTGTCTGTACTAAGAACACACACACACACAAAAATTAGCAGGGCGTGGTGGCATGTGCCTATAATCCCAGCTACTTGGGAGGCTGAGGCAGGAGAATCGCTTAAACCCAGGAGGCAGAGGTTGCAGTGAGCCGAGATTGCGCCACTGCACTCCAGCCTGGGCAACAGAATAAGATTCCATCTCGAAAAAAAAAAAAAGAGACAGAGAAAATCATGCCAATTAATAACTCTAAAACGGATTTATCCATACTGATTGTACTTCCAAATTAATACTTTTCTTCTTTTATAGAAGAGAGCAATTTCTGCCTGGATAGTCTTAACTTAGCTTAAGAGACCTGAAAAGTCCTAAACACATGACTTAATACTATTTTCAGGATACTATACACTGGACACAACTGTATAATTCACTAAAGCACTCTAAGTTTTGAAATAAGATACCTGGCCAGGCGTGGTGGTTCACACCTGTAATCCCAGCACTTTGGGAGGCCAAGGCAGGTGGATCTCGAGGTCAGGAGTTCAAGACCAGCCTGGCCAACATAGTGAAACCCCCTCTCTATTAAAAATACAAAAATTAGCTAGGCACGGTGGCACACACCTCTAGTACCAGCTACTTGGGAGGCTGAGGCAGGAGAATCGCTTGAACCTGGGAGGTGGAGGTTGTGGTGAGTTGAGATTAGGCCACTGCACTCCAGCCTAGGCAACAGAGCGAAACTCCATCTCAAAAAAAAAAAAAAAGAAAAGAAAGAAAGAAAAGAAGAAATAAAATACCTGAAATTACTCCAATAGTAGATGTCCTCATCAAGAAAACTAATTCTGTAATATATAGCAAAATATACCCATCCCCTTATGAGTATAGTGAGATTTTCTAAGTTGTCACTCTGATCTGTATTTTCTTGCCTTTCTATAATGAACTAAAATTATCTGAAAAATAAAGACATAAAGTAATAAAAATTTAATGACATTAATTTTGAAGAGGAGCAAGGAATGGACCATCACAAACATCTCAAAGTAATATTCAGTCTTCCACATTTGGGAAATGCCAATTCATCATAAAAACAAAAAGACAATGCATACTGTAAATGGCTATTAAATGACCTGATACCCAACAGAGTAAGGAACCTTTTTTTTTGTTGTGGCCAATACTCTTTCTAGAGTGTTATGTATTAAATTCAACTAAAATTTTATCTTCCAAAATCAATTTTTGAATTTATAACAGTGGAATATTTCAATAGTATAAGTATAAATAATTTAGTACTCATAGGCATAAACAAAAATCAACTCCAAAGGTAGCTGCTAAAAAAAGACTTGTTTATTTGTATAGGATGCTGAAGGCCTCTTAAAACAAAGAGTTGTGAATCAAAGACAAGAACATTTGAGAAGATTCAAAAACAGAACACTGTGCTTTCATCAGCATATCAAGACAGTTAAAGAATACCCAGTACTGTTAGCCTCTGAAAAAGCAAGCCAAGAGAAAGACTCCTAAGTCTAAGAAAAAGAATCCTGGTATATTATTATTTCCATGTAACAGTGTAGAAGAATCAGCCCAACAAAAAACAGCTCTTGGTATAGATTTGAATACTGAAAATCAAATTGCACTGAATTACAATTTACAACAGAATTACATATTTCACTACAGAATTTGACATATACAAATAAATAAAAGAATTTTAGAACCGGCTGGGTGCAGTGGCTCACGCCTGTAATTCCAGCACTTTGGAAGGCCGAGACGGGCGGATCATGAGGTCAAGCGATCGAGACCATCCTGGCCAACATGGTGAAACCCCGTCTCTAAAAAAAATACAAAAATTAGCTTGGTGTGGTGGCACACTCCTGTAGTCCCAACTACTCAGGAGGTTGAGGCAGAAGAATCGCTTGAACCCGGGAGGCAGAGATTGCAGTGAGCTGAGATTGCGCCACTGCACTCCAACCTGGGGACAGAGCAAGACTCCGTCTCAAAAAAAAAAAAAAGAATTTGAGAACCAAGTTCAGGATTGCCCAGAAGTGCCTTGCAATATGTTACTGAACATTCAATAATGCTCTGCAAATGAGTAACAGGAATTCCCACTTTGTTCGTCAATGGACACTTAAAAAAGAGACTAAATTTTTAATATAACCACATAATCGCTTTTAAATTCTCAAAATTTTGCCTCATATTCTATTTTTTAAATATACATGTTCTACTTCTTTACCCTTTTTCATTTTCATTAGACAACTGTTTTCTACCAGCCGTTCTCTACCTTTCTTCCTTAGCTCTATGCTTTGATTTCTTTCCAGATTTGCCACATGCCCACTTATAAACGAAAGCATTGTAGGACAAATGGGACAAAAAATTTTCAGTTGAATATAATCAGTAGCATTCTTGACCACAAAACTGTAGAAAATGCTTTACAAACTAATTTTTTAAGAGATCACAAAAACTCTATTTTTCTCTAAAGTACTAAAAGTTTTTCCAACAAAAATGCATTAAAATTCCCATTTTTCGGCCGGGCGCAGTGGCTCAAGCCTGTAATCCCAGCACTTTGGGAGGCTGAGACGGGCGGATCACGAGGTCAGGAGATCGAGACCATCCTGGCTAACACGGTGAAACCCTGTCTCTACTAAAAAATACAAAAAACTAGCCGGGCGAGGTGGTGGGCGCCTGTTGTCCCAGCTACTCGGGAGGCTGAGGCAGGAGAATGGCGTGAACCCGAGAGACGGAGCTTGCAGTGAGCTGAGATCCGGCCACTGCACTCCAGCCTGGGCGACAGAGCAAGACTCCGTCTCAAAAAAAAAAAAAAAAAAATCCCATTTTTCTAAAAAATTGCCTTACTTGGGTTATTCCAGAAAGCAGATATTTCTTTTTTCTTTTTTTTTGAAACGGAGTCTCACTCTGTCACCCAGGCTGGAATGCAGTGGTGTGATATCAGCTCACTACAACCTCTGCCTCCTGGGTTCAAGCAATTCTGTCTCAGCCTCCCTAGAAGCTAGGACTACAGGTGCACGCTACCACTCCCGGCTAATTTTTATATTTTTAGTATGTTGGCCAGGCTGGTCTTGAACTCCTGACCTCAGGTGATCCACCTGCCTCAGCCTCCCTAAGTGCTGAGATTACAGGAATGAGCCACCATACCCGGCCCAGATATTTCTTTTAAAAAAGTTTGTAATCCCAGCACTTTGGGAGGCCGAGGCGGGCGGATCACAAGGTCAGGAGATCGAGACCACGGTGAAACCCCGTCTCTACTAAAAATACAAAAAATTAGCCGGGCGCGGTTGTGGGCGCCTGTAGTCCCAGCTATTCGGGAGGCTGAGGCAGGAGAATGGCGTGAACCCGGGAGGCGGAGCTTGCAGTGAGCCGAGATCGCGCCACTGCACTCCAGCCTGGGCGACAGAGCGAGACTCCGTCTCAAAAAAAAAATAAAAATAAAAAAGTTTGTAACATCACTGTGGAAATCTATGCTTGAATAAATTTAGTAAACCATGAGGCATATTTAGGAAATCAAAACCCACCTCTTTTTGCATAACTGGAGTCCATATCTTTAAACTGTACCACAACAAAGTCTGAACATTTGAACAAGATACTCTCCATTATTTCTTCACGTTTTGGCCCCGAACTGGATTCTGTACTTTTCTCATGTGCAGCATCAAGTACCAAATCACACTAAAATGAAAAACACAAGTAAGTATTCAAAACATTTACAAAATAACATTTGTTAGGAATTCTTTAGCTCATCAAGGTACCAGTTCTTATATGCCTTTGACAAAAATAATCTCAAGAGAACCTGATAATCACATCCTTTTTCCAACAAATATGATTTATTATCCATCATTTAAAAAATCCTCACTTCTAAATGTTTTTTGTTGCTATGGTTTGTCTTAAGCACATTAATAATAATTTTTTAAGAGGAAAAAATAAACCACTACATCCCTCTATTAGATCACAATGCTTAAAAGTGATTGAAATATTTTAATAAGCACACACATCAAGAAGTCTTTCTGATTACACAAACCAGTCTATAAAATAATCAGTATTTGAAACTGAGGAGTAAAATCATTCAAAGTGGCTTTAAAAACTAGGTAAAGCACTGACTATGAATATGTTCTTTTACTTTGTAAGAAAAAGAAAAAAAAGTAAAAATTACCTTCGGACTGTAGGTTTTAAAAACTCCTTCATATATACCTCCATTTTTCACTTGTACTTCACATTTGGAGCCCTAAAAACACATAATTAATTTATCAAAGAAACAGTATATTATCTGCTCACCAGGGATAATTGTTTTCATTTTACTTTTTATACCTCATCAGGCTTCCTTCAGTATTAGGTATTCACTAACAAAACAATACAAAAATTTCAAAACATTAACAATACACTGAACTCTCGAAATTCTTCAGGAGGCTCTACTCAGAGCTTGCAGTACGAATTTTAATACTGAAGCCAAACATGTCTGACCCCAGCTATTTTGACAAAATAATGTACAAAAGACAATCAACTACTAATACTATTTTACACACACCGCAGGGTTAACAAGAATACAGTTGTCTGTTGTTATTGGTAGGGGAATGGTTCCAGGACCTCCTTCAGATACCGAATTACATTATACTTAAGTCACTTACATAAAATGTAATAGTATTTGCATATAACTAAGCACATTCTCCCAAATACTTTATCCCTATATTACTTATAATATCTAATATAATATAAATGATATGTAAATTGTCATACTGTATTGTTTTGGGAATAATGACAAGAAAAACGTCTGTACATCTTTGGTTCAGATGCGACCTTGCATCTTTTTTCTCAAAAAAAGAAAAAAAAATTTATTTATTTATTTATTTTTTTTTTGAGAAGGAATCTGGCACTGTTGCTCAGGCTGAGTGCAGGGGCATGATCTTAGCTCACTGAAACCTCCATCTCCCAGGCTCAAACAATCCTCCCACGTCAGCCTCCCAAGTCACAGGGACTACAGGCACGCGCTACCAAGCTCGGCTAGTTTTTTAACTTTTTGTAGAGATGGAGTTCTGCCTGTTTGCCCAGGCTGGTCTTAAACTCCTGAGCTCAAGCGATCTGCCCACCTCGAACTCCCGAAGTGCTGGGAATATAGGCGTGAGTCACTGTGCCTGGCCTTTTTATCAAATATTTTTGATCCAAGGTTGGCTGAATTCATAAATATGGAACTCACAGATGCAGAGGACCAACTGTACTGTTACAATGATTAGACTGGATAAAGGGAGTTCTAACTTATTTCTCTAAATCATCCTGACTAAACATGATCTAAGCAATGTTGCTTTGACAATCATTTATCCATATTTTAACTTCATGGAATTACTTTATTCTACCCCCAAGGCAGTTTATCCCCAATAATCTAATAACTTACAACAACTGATGTAAGTATATGAACCATCCTCATATTTGCATAGATTCCGTCAAAAGAAATCTGGAATATTAAAAAAAAAAAAAAAAGACTATTAGAAATTAGTACAAATTGAATCTCCCTTATCTAAAATGCTTGGGACCAGAAGTATTTCAAACTGTGGATTTTTTCGGATTTGGGGATACTGCATTATACTTAGTGCTTGAACATCCCTAATTCAAAATGTGAAATTCTAGAGCATTTCTGATTAGGGATATTCAGCCTGTATTTACACTTGCATATAAAGTTAATGTTTATTTTGTTGCAAAATGTTTAGTTAGGTTTATGATATCTTACGTGTATTAAAGGAAGATTCTGTTTATTTAATACTCTGCTTCTGTAGAGAACAGAAGGAACAGAAGGTCAGGTTTTCAAGTGTTATCAGTCATACCAACTAACGATATTTTGACTAAACGTGATATAAAAAAGCAAAAGTCAACTTCCATAGAGGAGGAAGGACACAAACCATAAGGATGGAAGACAAATCAATGGTTGGAGAGGAGGGTTCACTAAAAAGTGATTTGAGGGATTTTGGTGGGCAATGAAACTGTTCTATTATCTTGATTGTGGTGGTAGTTACACTGATTGTATGGATTTGTTAAAACTCACAGAAATATACCCTAAGAAGGGTAAAGTATAAATAAACGGGGTAGGAAGCCAGGTCATACCTTCACAGAAAAACCCTGACTAGGTTCTCCCAGCATATCTGCATCAATGACAGTGCTTAAGTCTGATCAACCACACTATTCCATATTACTACTATATACGTGTGTATCTTCCTGACTCTTGTAAAACAATCTGTCTAATAAAGGCAACGTCTCAAAAATGTGTAATAGCTTCTCATTTATTTCTTCCATTACATGGAACTTATACCGTCTGCCCTTTAGGTCCAGTTCAATTTCATTGGTAACATTCCAAAATTTAGGACCAGAAAGCCAAAGTAGAAAAATGAAAGCAGCAGAAAAAAAGCACATTAATTCAAAATAAAAAGCATAAAGAACTCTGCAGACTCCACTCTTGGTGTTCATAACATGTATCTTGGAGGTTTTTCACTTAGATTTGCACTTAGTCATTTAGAAAAGAACAAATGACTTGTTCTTATTATTACGCATGAAAAAAATACTATTTACAAATGATATGGTTTGGTTCTGTGTCCCCACCCAAATCTTATCTTGAATTTTAATAATTCTCATGTGTCAAGGGCAGGACCAGGTGGAGATAACTGAATCATGGGAGCAGTTTCCCCTATGCTGCTCTCATGATAGTGAGTTCTCAGGAGATCTGATGGTTTTATAAGGGGCTTTCCCTGCTTTGCTCAGCACTTCTCTCTCTTCCCGCTATGTGAAGAAGGATGTGTTTGCTTCCCCTTCCACCATGATTGTAAGCTTCCTGAGGCCTCCCCAGCAATGCAGAGCATGAGTCAATTAAACCTCTTTCCTTTATAAGTTACCCAGTCTTGGGTATATCTTTATTAGCACTGTGAGAATGGACTAATACAACAAATAATTTTACATTTTATGCATAGAATCATTAAAAAAAAAAAAACACATGTAGGCTAATAATCATATACTTAAACAGTCAAGTTATCTGTGATAAAATTCAAGAGAAGGGAATTTTTTGCCTTGGCATTTGGTCTGTGGTTAGAGATCATGTTTTAGCTACTAATTTTCCCCAATAAGTAACATTAAAGTTACTCACCGTAGACTGAGGCAGTCCTTTGTTACTGTTTCGACCTCTGAAAAGATTAAATATTATTTTTATTAAATTCAACAGGCTAAATAAGCTGAAAAATATTTCCAAACTTAAAATATAATTCCATTCAAATAAAGGAGAGGCTATCTGTGGGAAGAGCTCACCTAATATTAAGTCTAAAGGTTACCTAAGGATGGCTCTACCTGTGCACTGCTTGTCTGGAGACCCAGAATGGGTAGGGGTCATAGAAGGAAGGAAACTAGAAATAATCAAACTTTATCAAAATCAAATAAATAAAGTAAAATAGCCTACTGGAAGAAAAAAACTAATGTTAAACGCAAATTAATAATAATCATAGCCAGGCATGGTGACATGCACCTCTAGTCCTAGCTACTCAGGAGGCTGAGGCAGGAACACCAGAGTCCAGGAGTTTGAGGCTGCAGTGGGCTATGATCATTCCACTGCAGTCTAGCCTGGGCAACAAAGCAAGACCCTGTCTCTAAATAATAATCTTTACTCCCAAAGTAGCCAATCACTGTTATAAAGAGCTACTCCGAAGCAAAATACAGATTATATTTTTGATTTAACTAACACAGATGACTGACACCAAGCCACTTCCCATATTTCTCCCCCATCTATAAAAGAGAAACAGGTCATATGGGCTGGGCACGGTGGCTCATGCCTGTAATCCCAGTACTTTGGGAGGCCAAGATGGGCAGATCACGAGGTCGGGAGTTCAAGACCATCCTGGCTAACACAGTGAAATCCCATCTTTACTAAAATTTAAAAATTAGCTGGGTGTGGTGGCATGTGCCTGTAGTTCCAGCTACTAGGGAGGCTGAGGCAGAAGAATCACTTGAACCTGGGAGGCAGAGGTTGCAGTGAGCTGAGACCGCCCCATTGCACTCCAGCCTGGGTGACAGAGCAAGACTGTGTCTCAAAAAAAAAAAAAAAAAAAAAAAAAAACCCATAACAAGAAAAACAGGTCATATGATTACAACCGCAGGGAAAAAAAAAAAAAAACTGAAAATAAGCTAAATCATTCAAAGCACTTTCATTTCTAAATAATATGTGTCTATATGTGTGGATTGTTATAACAAGTGCCTTTCCTTGCCAACTCTCTCCCTCAGAAAAGATGCAGTACACAAAATTCGGCTGTCAAGTAAAGATGAACTCTATTTTTATGTGAATTACAGAATATAATACAACCTAAAGCTTATTCCACTGAAAAAGATTAGGGCCCTTAGAATAATTTTAAAACACCGTTAAAGTGAAATGTTACATTTCTCATAAACATTAGTCATGACAATAGGACTGGAATCTTGTTTTAATAAAATAATCACAGCACTCAAACCAAAATTCAAAACATTCAAGGAAAAGCACAATTCAGGGTCCAAAAAGTCTAGTAATATGACTGGTCCATTCCTAGAAGAGTACTCTAAACATTCTGAAGGCCAGTCCCAGCTTGGTCTCCAACTCTGTCACTTTCCTTACTTTCTTCTCTCATCCAGAAAACAATGACTTGAATCAAATGATATCTAGGATTCCTTTCATTTCTAACGTTCTAATTCTGTAACTGTTTGCCTCAAACATGGCACAGAGATAAACTTCTGAAGTCTAAGGAACACGACTAATAATTTATCTTTCATAGATCTCACTACAAAAAAAGACACCATACTAAGTACCTCACATGGAACATGTCTAATCTATCACCTCTACCTTACAGGTGAGGAAACTGAGCCTTACCAATCAAATATCTTGACCAAAATCATCCAATTCATGCGCAGTAGAGCTGGTATTTAAACCAGGTATATCTGATTCCATGTCTAAGTTTTTCATTTCTAGGTTATGCTGCCTCTTTGAAACTGTATCACAAGGAATAAACTACCTCATCTAACAGAAATTCTGTACTTTTTCAAACATCATTTGAATTCATGGCTTTAGTGGGGGGTAGCGGGTGGTTACTTATAGCCTGTACATGAAGGCAAAAATGCCTAAATCTTACTTAGAAGGATGATCTGGTATCCTGGTGGTTGCTGAGATGCCAAGTTACAAAACCTTGAACAAATGCCACGAACTGTCCTTAAATTCATATGGCCTCCCTACAAAGCTATATAAAAGACTTAAAAACATAATCCCCTTTAAATAAGTCACATTGTTCTTTTTAGTGATTATGTGGTTACATCTTTAACTAATAAAAAGTAATTGTTTGACCATGGAGTTTACTCAACAGAACATATCATTCAACCAGGAAAGTATTATCATATAAAAAACAGTACAGAATACAGAAACCACTGATTTCCACTGATCTATGACATGGTTGGACACCCAAGAAGAATGTTAGCATATCGAAGCAGTATTCTCTGAAATCCATTAAAGTCTAAATTCTTGTTTCTTTTTGTATCCCTTCAAGTTATGCTTCACTTTTAATCTTTTCATTAATATCTCAAACCAAGTATTTTACTATTTAATAGAGAAACAAATACTGAATTGCAATAAAAAAAAGGCCAAGAGCACATTTTAGACCTAAGTATATTTATGGTTAGATAGATCAAGTTTAACAAAACACTAATATCCAGGACTCTATGCTTTCAATAGTTGCCGAATATGAAATTCAAGTGTCACTTAAAATGTCAGTCAAATTAATATAAAGAAATTTACATGCTGAATGTGGTAGCTCATGCTTGTAATCCCAGGACTTTGGGAGGCTGAGGCAGGAGGATTACTTGAGTGCAGGAGTTTGAGATCAGTCTGGGCAACAAAGCAAGACCCCGTTTCTACAAAAAATAAAAAATTAGCCATGTGTGGTGGCACAAGCCTGTGGTCCCCGCTACTCGGTAGGGAGAGGTGGGAGGATCACTTGAGCCCAGGAGGTCAAGACTGCAGTGAGCTGTGATCATGCCACTGCACTCCAGCATGGGTGACAGAGCAAAACCCTGTCTCAAAAAATAAGTAACTAAATAATAATAATACAGAAGGGAGAAATCAATGGGGTTGTAAATCAAACAAGAATGGTATGAGCTCATAACTATTAAAGCTGGGTGATAGGTGTTCAGGGGTTCACTTTACCATTCTACTTTCAAACAATTTCCCTTAAAAAAAAAAAGAAAAGAAAAAAAACCCACCTTCTGATGTGATACAATAGGATAGACCTAATCAAGTTTACGGATCTACTACCAGTTTACGAGAAACATTAAGATGGAAGGATATATTAACTGATACCATGAGGTTACTCACAGTTTAAATCCAGAATGTAGTAAATGCAACATAAAAAATGACAGTTTTTCTTTTTTTTTTTTTTTTTTTATTTTCTGAGACAGAGTCTCACTCTGTTGCCAGGCTGGAGTGCAGTAGCACAATTTGGCTCACTGCAACCTCCGCCTCCTGGGTTCAAGCGATTCTCCTGCCTCAGCCTCCAAGTAGCTATGACTACAGGCGAGCGCCACCATGCCCAGATATTTTTGTATTTTTAGTAGAGACAGGGTTTCACCATGTTGGCCAGGATGGTCTCGATCTCTTAACCTTGTGGTCCACTCGTCTCAGCCTCCCAAAGTGCTGGGATTACAGGCATGAGCTACCACGCCCGGCCAAAGATGACAGTTTAACAAATAAATCGGCCGGGCGCGGTGGCTCAAGCCTGTAATCCCAGCACTTTGGGAGGCCGAGACAGGTGGATCACGAGGTCAGGAGATCGAGACCATCCTGGCTAACACGGTGAAACCCCGTCTCTACAAAAAAATACAAAAAACTAGCCGGGCGATGTGGCGGACGCCTGTAGTCCCAGCTACTCGGGAGGCTGAGGCAGGAGAATGGCGTGAACCCGGGAGGCGGAGCTTGCAGTGAGCTGAGATCTGGCCACTGCACTCCAGCCTGGGCGACAGAGCGAGACTCCATCTCAAAAAAAAAAAAAAAAAAAAACAACAACAACAAATAAATCACGTAGTACAAAAACACCATAGGAGGAGAACTTATAAATTTTAAAATACATATAAAAGCAATACATAAGCTGGGCGTCATGGCTCAGGCCTGTAATCCCAGCACTTTGGAAAGCCGAGGTGGGTGGATCACAAGGTCAGGAGTTCGAGACCAGCCTGACCAACATGGTGAAACCCCGTTTCTACTAAAAACATAAAAATTAGCTGGGCGTGGTGGCACGCACCTGTAATCCCAGATACTTGGGGAGGCTGAGACAGGAGAATCACTTTAACCTGGGAAGTGGAGGTTCCAGTGAGCCAAGATTAGGCCACTGAACTCCAGCCTGGGCGACAGAGCGAGACTCCATCTCAAAAAAAAAAAAACAACTTAATGCGCTTAAAATTGTTGAAATGGTGTATTACATATATTGTACCAAAATTTAGGAGAAAAAAACTCACAACCTCTTCCCAAAGAAATTTCATTTGCAACAAGGTATGAAAGAGTTCATGATGCTTTCAAAGGCACTTGGTAGGAGGAGATTGGTAGAATCACTGGAGATAAGTGCTAAATTGTAGCTTGCCAAAACTAGGGAAAGAGAGCTGGGAGGACTCCTCCGTGGATCAGAACAAATTTAAAACACTGATCTCAGAAACTATCCCTTCAAAGAAGCTAAAATTTGATCAGATCAGTCTGTGGAGCAGTTTATGCCCCAAAGCATCACTGAAAAACAATGCAGGCCCTCCACATCTGAGGATCTCACACCCTCAGATTCAACCACTCGAGATGAAAAACACTTAAAAATAAATACGATAAAAACAAACACATAAAAAATATATAACAACTATTTACCTAGTATTTACACCATATTAGGTACTACAAGTAATCTAAAAATGACAAAGTATACAGGAGGATGTGCACAGGTATATGCAAATACTGTGCCATTTTATGAGGGACTAGAGCATCCATAAATTTTTATATCCAACAGGGGGGTCCTGGGACCAATCCCCCAAGGACACCAAGAAATGACTCTATAGCATCATCTAGTAATTAGTGTAGCTTAACAGCTGGGTACAGTCGGGAAAAGAGACAAAGCCATGCCAAAATCACTGTGATTCCAGAATGATGGTA